CACTGAGGGCTTCATCTACAGGGTTTCTGAAACTTCCAGTGCCTGATCACCCTTTCAGTGAAGAAATATTTCCTCTTGCCCTGTCACTTGTTACTTGGAAGAAGGACCGACCCCACCTCACTACAAACTCCTTTCAGGTTGTTGTAGAGAGCAATAAGGTCCCCCCTTGAGCCTTCTCTTATCCAGACTAAACAAGCCCAGTTCCCTCACACGACTTGTGCTCCAGACCCTTCACCATCTCTGTTGCTCTTCTGTGGACCCGCTCCAGCACCTCAATGTCTCTCTTGTAGTGAGGGGCCCAGAACTGAACACAGGATTCAAGGTACAGCCTCACCAAGGGGATGATCACTGTCGTGCGCTGCTGGCCATGCTATTGCTGGTAGAGTCCAGGATGGTGTTGGCCTTCTTGGCTGCCTGGGCACAAGCTGCTCATGTTCAGTGGCTGTCAATCAGAACCCCAGGTCCTTTTCCTCTGAGCAGCTTTCCAGCCACTCTTCCCCAAGCCTGTAGTGTTGCATGGGGTTGTTATTGCCCAAATGCAGGACCTGCACTGAACCTTATAGAACCTCATACCATTGGCCACAGCCCAACGATCCAGCCTGTCCAGATCCCTCTGCAGAGCCTTCCTACCCTCCAGCAGATCAACGCTCCCACCCAACTTGCACTACAATGCACTACCAGAGCTGGACCTTCAGTGACCATCCCTGCCAGAAGGTGCCTGAGCCTGATGGAAAGCTTAACTCTTAGCCTTAACTCAGGATATCTCATTCTTCAAGAATTTTTTTTAGCTAAATCCTAGAAATACCCCTCCTGGCTGTGAAAAGCATGTCTGGAGCCACCAAAATGGCTGGTCCTCCATGATGTGACTGGGTAACAGCCTCACCATCCCTGCCCATACCTGGGAATAATTAAAAGCCTACTATGTTTTTAAAAATACCTTATCTTGTTCCAGCTGAGCTATTTTCTGAACCTCCAGGAACCACATCTAACCTGATAGGTTTTGGAGCAATGCAAGATGGGACCTAAAGGGTTAGCCCTGATGATCCAAGCCTTCCCAGACAGCAATTACAAAGGAAGGTCTTTTGTTTCAGCCCTAACAAAAAGATCAACAGCACATCACTGTGCTGCAGAAGATAAATTAAGCAGAAATCCACTGGAGGATTTATGAGCTCAGCCTTGTCTCTGCCAGCAAAGTCCCTATGGGACCACACAGTGCCTTTTACTCTTGTTGCTCCTGCTGAGCAACCCCTGCCTGCAAGCACTAGGAACGAGGAATTAGCGCTTGTCTGTTTAATGGTGACCACAACACACTGCTGAGGTCAGTTCTCCAGGGATATGGGAGCTTGTTGCATACCTCATGTTGCAAAAAGTGTGACAAAGCTCCATGTCCATTTCCACAATGACGACGCCTTTGAATTCCAGGTTGTTTGATAGCTCAGGTGTAACCTACATGCAGCCACACTTCAAGCGTATACAGACCAGAAGCCGAGCCTACACACAGACATTCTCTCACTTAAATTATTCAGTAGTAGGGCTGGCTGGAAAATGCCCATTTCACAGATGATTTCAAGTTTTTATAATCTGGTTTAGTTCTGTCTCAGTGCAAAATCTGAACCTTGGAACATTTTACCGAGCACAACCTGCTCACTCACACTACAATAGTCTCTATTCTGGTCAAGGCATTCACCTGGGATGTTAAAACATAGGATCCAGTCACTGCACTGTTCTTTGTAGAGAACAGCTCTGGACAGCTGTCTATTCCCTTTCCAACCCGAGCCAGGACAGCGTCAATGGCTGAAGTCTGGCTGAACTACATCCATTCCTGACAAAAAGCTTTGAGTCAAACAAATAATTTATTTGACAAAGAAGAATTTTTCTGGAATTTTTCTGACCAACTCTGATCTGTGGTTTTGTTACAAATTCACCTGAAGGATACATTTTTATGCAGAACCAGCTGGAGTTCACTCAACCTACAATTAAACAATGATAGAACAACTCAAACCACTACTTTCCATTTCTGTGGTTAACAGCAGCACCCATTACCAGTGACTGAAATGATAAGGAGTGTCATTAATCATACTTACTACACCAGATGAGCACTCCTGCCAGAAGGGAATTTCAACCCCCAGCCTTATGCCTTACTATCTGAAGTGACATGGAACATGATGAGCCGGTGATCATCATACTAGCTCCTCAAAAGCTTACATGATTCTTCCTCACAGTAACTCCTTGACTCTGTAACATCTCTTTTTATTAATGTTGCTTATAGGAAATCCACCAAACTGTCACTAAACAGTCTTGAATTTGATGTGATTTTACTGTGTTGCACAAGGAAGAGCCTAAAAGTTGTTCTTGCACACATCTTCAAGATTATTCTTAGTATTAGTTACCATTCCCTCCTCCATGGCTTACCAAGAACATATACTGGAAAGTGCAATTTCATCCCAGAGAGCCAGACAGGACACCACTGGAAATCTTGAAGTGATTCCCTTCTTCTGATTTTCCTATTCGTAACCTGTGTGATGAGCTACCACTGCTGCCAGAAATCTAATTTTCCAGGATGGTTAAGCTTGCAGGGTCAAGGTTTTGAACTACTGGTTGCAGGGAGCAAAGGCTATCCTAAGTTTAGATGAAAAACACAATCATGGAATTTCACTGCATGTACCTGGATGCAGAAGACTGATTTGATAATCTAATATGACTTCTTTCATTTGGACTTGGTGTTTCCAGATACAAAGGGAACAGAAAACATGAAAAACAGTAAAATAAATGGCCTCAGAAAAATCAGCTCTGAGCAGAGCTCTATCATTTTATTCTGTAACTTCATCTGCTTACTATTACAATGTGTGCCTTTGCTCTGGGATCTCTGGTTCTGGACTGTGCTGCATCAAACATGCTATTAATTAGCAATGCTCACTGAAGGCTATTTTTGTTCTACACCACTCATATTTCTTTTTGGGTGTATTCCTATATTAGTGGCCTTGTGCAAAATTGATTTGTTACTCATGTATATTGCAAGCCAACAGAAACGTGATTTGAATACTGTGCCAGCTTGCCTCTCTTGGAAAGCTCTTCCAAAAGTAAGCATGCACTGTCCTGCCCTGCAGGACTAAACAGACCTTTGAGGGGCTCTGGACCACAGGGTACTGGTGATGACATCCATTATGGATGATATTAATACTGGTAATAATGAAGAACTTCCTTTATTTACCCTGGCAAAAATTTATTTAATTAAAACAATCTCATGAAACTTCTGGAAGGGCTGGAGAACTCCCTGCTTTAGGAGGTTTTGGAGCAGCTTCGTGGTCCCTGGATCACTCTGCCTACCAACTCCTTGGCACTTTAAGATGTCAATGTGACTTGGAGGAGCAATCTCACATCAGGGAAGCTGCTGTAGGTGTAGCACAGCAGCAGTGTGGAAGGAAGGTGTGGGGCATGGCAGGGACATGGCGCGAAATGATCTGTCACCTCAGTTGACACCTCAGGTGTCTGTTGAGCAGAGAAGTCTGCACCATTCAAGATTCAGATTTACAGGTGTTTCATCATGTTTCCTTCCCTTTGGTCTGGACTGTGAAGGAAGTGAGATTAGATGGTCGCAATGGTGCCTTCTGGCTTCAAAAGTTATGAATCCATGACCTACACCGCAGTGTATTTCCCATTTGTGCCTACTCTGTTTTAAATCTAAGACCTCGGTTTTCAGCAGTCACAGTCCTTACTGACCTGCCTCTGTAAACACAATTGCTCACATCCCTATAAAATATCAGAAACAAAACGTTTTAAGTTTTACTATAAAGTTCCACTGCAGGATTTACTTTTACTTTATTCAACAACAAAGCTTCATCAGGGAA